CGAAGATGTTTGTGACCCCTACGAGAATGAGAGAGACTTGTGAAGAGATGTAGAAGAGACAGAAAGGTGACGAGAACAGAAACGGGGGAAGCAAAGAAAGGGATTGAAAGCAATTGGAAGAGGAGGAGGAGGAGGAGGAAGATGGGAGTGGTGAGGGGATGTGTGATCATGAGGGAGGGGATGGTAACTCGAGCCATGTGTTTACCACGTACGTCCCCAGAAACATATGAGTTCTTGGGAAAATGTACTCGAAAAGACATTCAGGACCCAAACAAGCAGATTCAACTTGACATGGATTCTAAAGATTCTAAATGAATCCATGTGAAGGAAGAATTGTAATCACCGTTCTTCTCGTGTTTTAATTGATATCAATCAGTTTTCAAACTTTGGAACAAAAGAGTGTATTTACCATTAATTTCTATATGTTGTGAAAATAAATAATCAGACTCTCGAAACTTGTTTGAATCGACGTCTTTCTGTGTGAATCTATTTAAAAAGATGATCGTTGCATCGACTGTATATAAACATGGACGTAGCACAAAGAGGAAGCCGAAATATCGATGTGTGTATATGGAGCCAGAGTTTTTATGGAATCAAATAACTAACTAAAACCAGACTTGCTGGAAACGTCAACACTTGGAGCAATGCGTCAGTAAATGGTAAACATGGTTTATTGCTTGTAAAAACACTTGAGTTTCCTGCTAAACATGGAAACTAAAATATTTGCAGATACAGGAAATGACATTAGATCTAATCAGCCTCTACAATAAAAGCATAAAGGAGTCGTCCAGTGTTGTTTTTGTTGCTGTTGATTTTACTTTGTGTTTAAGTCATTGCTGTTGCTTGTTTCTGTAATGATCATCATTTATAGAGACACTGTCCTTGTAATTGCAGTTTTTTTGTCTTCTACTGTGAATATCATTCCACAATTAATTTTGTCGTTCCACTTCACACGTTGACTTGTTGCCACAAATAAAAACAGCAGGTCAACCTCCTTCCTGACAGCATCATTATCATCTTGTGATGTTTTTTTCGTCTGCGAGTCGAAGCCTGGGCCAGTCAGAACTCGCCTGATGCCTGCGTCTCGCACGGAGCTACGCCTCCAGACCGCACACTCGAGGATTTCTCCGTGTTTACTCTGACGTCACTGTTGACTCTTCCAATCAATATTCCCATCACAGCATGGGGTCGCACTGGAGCACAGGACATCAGAGAGTAATGTCAACACTTCCCTGGGAATAACAAAAATAACTGACCAGAAGTTCGGTAGATCAGAAGACATCCGCAAAAACTAACTTGACAGATTTTAGCAGAGATTCATTTTCTTGGCCTAAGTTTGAGATTCATTCAGTATCAAGTCCTTCAACCCTTGACAACAACAAAAGAGTTGACATGTGCTATAATCCTGATCAGCTGATCCCAGCTCACACTTTAACTCTATAACCAGAGCTTCCTCTTTCAAAAAGAACACAGATAAGAACACTGTTTTCACATAAACTATGTGTGTGTGTGTGTGTGTGTGTGTGCGTGTGTGTTGGTCATATTCATTTCCCTCTTCCCCCCCCAGCCTCACCCCTCCAGCCTCTCTGAGTGTCATGTCAGCGCTGCCTGGTTGAGTCTGTTTTTATCGAAGTCTGGCTCAATCCAGTTCACGCTGCCTCAAGACACAACCTCCTCATCTTACTCTCTCTCTGCCTCCGTCTCTCCCACTCCTCTCCATCTGTCTGACCCCCCACTTCCACTCCCCCTGCTCTTATTGTTTATTACGTGTTTCTTTTGTCTGCACTGAACAGTTGTTGTTTTTTCTACTCCCTCACCTCACTTCAGTTCAGACTTTCTTCCTTTTCCTTCTCTCTTGAGCCCGTTTGTTTGAGCCCTGAGGTGCTGTTCATCAACACTGAGAACAAAGAAAGAAAGAAAGGAGGAAAGAAAAAAGAAACAATCGACATCTTTGCCTGATGTTGTGTTTGTGTATCTTAACTATAATAGTGTATCTACACATCGTTCTCTGCTTTGTGTGCAGATGTGTGTGTATCACTGGATCACAGGTTGGAGCAGGAAACTGGTCCTGTTCCCAAGATCCTCAGGGACACTGTCAATTATTCTGTCGGAATTAGATTTATTATGAAAGGGTTTGGTTGTTTACTTGCACCATGACAAGACGATAAAAACCAAAATCCAGAGCGTCCTGTGGCTGCTCAGGCATCATATTCAATCTAATCATAAAGTGGTGTCACAACATTTCATATGTCAAATAACATTTTGTTGACTTGCAGTGAGTGTTCCAGTAGCAGCGGATGTGCTTTCAACCACATCCTATGCTTTTCTTCAGCATACGGTGTTGAGCAAGCAACCTGAGTAAATGTTATCTGCAGAGGAAGACCATCAGATGAAGCTGAAAGACCCAGGAGAGGCTCATCAGTGGATTTGGACAGAACCAAGAGTTGCCATGAGTGTGTGTCTGTGTGTGTGTGTGTGTGTGTGTGTGCATGCTATATATGTGAAGGTGTAGAATCTAACACCTTTCTCCTCTGTTGATCTTTCCCACGATGATGCCTCCCTTCCATCTCTGACATGCTCTGCCCTCTTGGCTTGTGCGTTTGTGTGTCTGTGTGCATTTTTCCATCTTTGCGTTATTGCAACATGACCCGACATCAAGGACACAGCGGCTGAAGTGCCATCAGGCAAAGCACAAAGAATTAATATCCGTGTCGGGGCCCAGTTGTTGCACTGATCAGCTCCCAGATGTGAGGCGGAGCATCAGTGAGAGGGAAAGGTTACAGAACGGGTTTGATCGCCGTGGAGAATGCGTGGATTTGCATATTTTAATTGGCTTGAGTCTCATTTGATGGCTTGATGATTGATGGCCACGTTGAAGAACGCAGGCCCCTGACTGGATCTTTCTGGAGGTTGCACAATTTTGAAAGACAACACAACACGTGATGCAGAAATGAAATGACTGAAGCAACACTGCATTTGTCATTGATTATAAAATGGGTAATAGATATCAGACTGACTGATTTCAACATGGGTGCCTATAAAAACCAGTCGGTGCTGTTTGCAATGCAGAGGAGGATCAGCTGATCAGGTGACGTGTGTGTGAGGTTATTCGGTAAAGGTCGGTAAATCTGTGAGGGTGTGTGGAGGATTTTCTATCTCGAGGACGTCATTTTCTTGCAGGCTGGGTTGACTTATAAAATATTTATTCAGCATGTGAGCACAGGACGGGCTATAAATAGTCTCAGCTAAACATAAAGCCATTAGTATTACCACTGCTGTCTCACACAGCTCTATTTCTCTCTCTCTCACACACACACACACACACAGATATAAACTCATGCACAGCGACATTGACAAACTCGATGCAGGCTGCATCCTGATCATGCAGACATATTGATATTCTGGCTGCTCTTGCAGGAGCAAACACACCCTGCACAGGCTGCAGTCTGAATCTGGGCCAAGTGTGAGCGTCAGCATTCGTCTGAGGAGGTTTATAAATGAGGACACACTATAAACTATAGCAGCATTAAATAATTCAAAGGTGTGATTAGTGTGAGAGCCTACGGGCACATGTTGTTGAGGTCTTATCAATCAGTGTTCACTTTATTTTTCATCAGAGGGTTGAGGATAAAACCCAAAGTACATGAATAAGGCAAATATTCAGTAATGTGAAACTAAATCACGTGGAACAAACATATTGACCTGCAGCCTACAACAGTGTTTGCACAATTAAAAACTGCCAAGTCAGTAGAATGTGAAAAGATGATGAGTCAGAGCGAGTGAGGAGATTGTAAAATAAAAGCACATGTCTCTCTCTCTCAATCCAGAGCTGCTGAAAATACAATATAAAAGTAAGCATCTTTTGTCATGTTGGTGTGTGATAACCTCCTGTGATTATTGCTGCAAACCAAATAAAGAATCTATCCATCTCTGATTAGACTGAATAGAGTCTGAATGCATCCTAACTTCTATACAAATGAATATCTCAGAATTCAGCGAGCGTATATCTCCTCATATATTTGATGAACTTCCGTACCCCGGCTGCATAAGCGCCTCTGCAGGAAACAGGGGCCACGGCCGCAGACATGCAGCGTCTCGTACATGTTACAACATAGTGCTGTGACAGCTGCTGAGGAGATTTATAAAACCAGCATCAGACGAAATGCTGCCATGTGCACTTTGGTCTTACTTCCCCCTCTGGTGCGCGCTCCCTTTACTGCATCGGCCCACTCAGAAGATGGTGCACAGAGACAGACAGCTATGAAGTCTTTCAGTCTTTCTCATCACAGCACCGGTGAACCGTTTCAAAAACACTAAAGATGAATCTGTCAGAACAATGTCGTAAAATCTGGAATATGTTTGACTTTGCACAATAAACATAGAAGAAAGTTGAACAAGAAAAATGCTTAAAATTCAGTTTAGAGTATTAGTATTTCAATTAAAGTAAAAGGATCAAATATTTCTTCCAACTCAAGTACTCAATGAACTGGCTGTGTATGTTCTTAAATTTCACTAGCTCATTAAAACTTGATTTGGTTCACATAATCTCTTAATTTCACTTCTCTTTTTCCTCATTTCTTTATTTTGAGAGGAAGAACGAAATACTGGGACAGTAAACAGACTAAAAGCCACAGATTTGTTACATTACACATAAATATACATAAGGATTTACATATGTTATGGTTTAATTTTCTTTTTTATTATTAGATTTATAAATTGCTCAACAATCATTGACTTTTATTACTAATTTTACATAAATTAATGAATTAATGAGAAAATAATAATAATAACCTGCTTTTTCGTTGCACTCCCTATTTTATATTAGGGCTAAAAAAATAAATATGTTATGAGTTCGAAATGTCTTATTGTTATTGGATTTAGAAATTAGATTTATAAATCGTTCAACAACATTTATGTTTTACATCAAATGAAGACAGTTCAATGATATGAACTAAAGGAATTAACGCGTTTTAAATGAAAATAAAATGATAATAACTCACTGTTCGGTCGGTCATCCATTAGTGCTGACACCACACGGCCTGCGGATGGCGCTGTCGCTCCTCTCAGCAGAAACACACACTCTGAGCCTGAGAGGAGAAGAAGATGGAACCAGGTCAGTGAACTTTTTCTTTTTCATTAAAACTCATTAAACTAATGTTTCTGTCGCTTTCACAAACGGAGACTTTCCACCGGAACACACTTACACAGAGTTTCTCCTCCAGGAGACTTTCACACGTTCGCTCCACAGACTGAAGCTTCTCTCGTCCAGGTTGGTTTTCAGAACTGAATCCCACTTTTAACACTTCATGAAGTCAAACACTCTTTCTGTGGCTCGTCCCTGTTTGTGGATTCGTCTTCACAGGGATCGAAGAAGAAAAGAAAAAAAAGCCAGTTCAGGGAGACGAGTGTGTTTAAATCCAACGCACCTGTGGCTCTCAGGCAAGTGCTCATGGGAAATGAAGTTCACAAACGAAGCTTTTGCAGCATTAAAACCTTTTCAGTCACATAAAGAAATCTTCAAATGTTTGTTTTTAATTCAAACTGATGTGAAAGGATGGTAGAATTATTACGTGATCACACATCAAATATTGATTTATCAGCTGATTTATATATTTTAAAATATTCAGTCGTCAAACCCTCCATGACAAAGTGAGGCTTTATATTTTACAATTCAATGATGAACTTTATGTTTATATATATATATAGAATTTGAATTGAGAAAATATTTTTTTTAATGTTTTCCCTCGAGAGAAAAATACATTTTCTATCATAATAAAAGGACAAAACACAGATGTTCAAATGTGTCCCTCAGCCTTAATTAGCATGTGACACTTCCAAAAACATCCACCATTTTATGTTTGCGTGATGTTGACAAATCCGCAGAAAGTCCTCATCTTTGTTTTCAGAAGTGTGGCTCCAAAAAAAGGGGCTGGAACTGTCTGGGATTTAAGGAAGGCACACATTAAATTCAAACTGTGGCAGCCTCAATGAGCATGTCTGCTCATTTGTTCTGTCTCTTTGTATTTTGTTTAATTTTATATCTGGCAAACAATGACGATTTCCAGAGCTTTACTTGGATTTCACATTGTAAGAGACTCTAGCTCGCTGCCTATTGTGTTGCCGTGCCGCACATTTGACCCAAGAATAAGAAAAAGAAGAAGTGATTCTGATTTTGATTTAAGAGTTGAAGGGAAGATAAGAAAGGGTTTTTACCCAAATTGTTAAGTCACTCGATGTATAGATACCTTCTCAGAGGCCCTGTACTGTACAAATAGGCCACCCCGCCCTCACAGTGACAACCCCCCCCATCAACACACACACACACACACACACACACATGCATCCACCAACCCCCTGTCTCCCTGGGGACCCCCACGGAAGTCTGGTGAGGGGTCTCCAGTGCCAAAAAGCAGGAAGTCACAGCTGTGCTCATCCCCCTTTCACCATGTGTGAGTGTGTGTGTTTTCTTGTATCTGTCTGCGTCCGTGTGTAGATCTGGGTCAGTGTGTGTGTGTGTGTGTGTGTGTGTGTGTGTGTGTGTGTCTCAGCTGCTCTCTCATCCAGTTTATTGGGCCGCTACATAGCTTCTTCTTCTTTGGTGCAGAAATTTCCAGTGTCTCTAAGTGAGAGAGAGAAATCCTGGCTTATGTCGACCAGTAAACACTCTGTCTGATTTGCGTGTCACTGTGTCAAATAACACAAGAATGACTGCACTGGTGCACACACCCTCTGTCACCTCCCCTTTTTAATTGTCTCTGTCCCTTCTTCACCTTTTCATAGACCTCAGATAAAGATGGACGACCCCTCCTTCCACTATCCGGAAATGGAGCAGAAATATCCTGGAATCGAACGACGCCATCTTGCACATTTGGAGTCTGCGAGATGTAGCCGTGGTACCGAGGTCCTGACGATACACACGTTCAAACAATCGTGAGTCAGTCTCCTGACGTTTCACCCGGTTTATATATCATCAAATTACTAATTAGAACCAAACTCGGAGACTTTAATGGACAGGAAGTTAAAATAAGGTAAAACCCTAATGGATGCAGCGTTCGGATGTCCACACACTTTTGGCCTTGTAATGTACCTGTCCCTCTCTCTCTCTTCTGCCTTGCTCCTCCACTCCTTCATTTTCTCTGGTTCTTCCTTCTCTATTAGCCTCTGCAGCGCTCTGTGAATCCAACTCTTTGCTGTAAATCTCAGGCCTTTAGTTTAATGGGCGCAGTGTGCCTCTGTAACACCGGCTGCCTTTGTTTTGGTTACAGATAAAATCTCCGAAGGAAAACACGGCAGCAGAGAGAGACAGACGGAGAACGAGGCAGCGGCTATGAGAGTCTGAGGAGATGTAGTAAAACTGTCTAGTGTGTGTGTGTGTGCGAATCCCTGTGGTGCAGGAAGAAATAGACAAACCCAGAGAGCGAGAAGGGCATTTCTTCCCTCTTCTTTTCCATTTCTTGAACAAGATACGCAGAGAGAAAGCGAGCAGAGGGGAGAAGGGAGTGATATCTACAGAAAGAGTGATGATTTGACAAAACCTGTATCCACAGCAGACGCACATGGAACTGTTTCCTCTCTCTGAGGCGCAGGTTGAGAGTTTTTCCTCAAAGCTCCAAATGTCCGTCTTGTATAATTTCTCAAATCTTGCCTGAGTTTTTAATCTGATTAATCTCTTTGGCCCCACCGTTCGTTCTCACTCTGTTTGATCGCACTCTGCATCGGGCACGTTGAGCGAACACATGGAGTTGATCACAGCGCCTGTTGCTGGTGTTGTCTTTTGGGAATGTTGACAAGTTGACAGGCGAGGCGCAGCACTGACACCGAACCTCCCTCCAATGTCCGGACGAGAGAGGTAGACAGGCGGAGAGAGAGAGAGAGAGAAGGGGGGGGGGCACAGGGGGGAGGGTGACACAGAAAGAGATAGGGAGAGAGGGGGAGGTGAGAGGAAAGGAGGAGGAGAGATGAAGAGGGGAAAAAAAATGACTTCACGGCCTCGACTGGCCTGCCCCCTTTTTCCCTTCAGCCTCTCTCTCTCTCTCTCACTCTCAACTTTTTCTCCTCCTCCCTCCTCCTCCTCCTCTGTGTGTGTTTTTGAAATGATTTGGGGAGAAGAGGGGAGCAAGCATTCAGAGCTTGGCTGACGGTGCAGGCAGGAGCGTCACATAGGCAAACAGGAGCCTGAGGGGCAGCACGCAGGGACCGAAGAGGACTGAAGGAGAGACTGGGGTGTTTTGGATCTGATGCACAAACTGAAAGATTGACTTACAGGAGAGGCAGGCAGAAGGGAAAAGAGAGGACTTATTGATTTTTACACACAGAGAAAGAAAGAGCCAGATACACTGTACAGTTTTGTTTTTGCAGAAAAGACAGGAAGGCAGGAAGATAACTCGTGAGCAAGCCTAAACCTTTTTCACATTTTTCCACCTGGGACTGTAGTTGTCGTCCTGTCGTCCACTGGAGAAGAAAAGAAGCAGATGAACGGAGGCACGTTATGAATGACAGGGGAAAACGCCTCCTCTCAAGCCAGCAATGCTTTTGAGGAACTTTGCACTGGACTGTTGCTGTGTGCTATGTTCCTGGACACGGATGCAGGCATAAGAGACACATTTCCATTGAATTACTCTTGAGGATCCACGTTTTCTTTTTACCTTCCGTGCAGGTGACTGTCACTATGATTTCGCAAAGGTACTCTTTAACACTATCATGGACTTCTTGTCTTCTAGTCCTGTGCCTCCTGGATGTATGGACCACCGCCCAACAGTCCCAGCCCCAGCTGCAGTCCCGCCGGTCCAGGCAAATGTCAACCCTCACATCGTCCTCCTCCTCCTCCTCATCAGCCGGCAACCTGTCAGAGAGCGCAGAGAGCAAAGTGGAGCGCCTCGGCCAGGCGTTCAAGCGCAACGTCCGCGAGCTGCGCGAGAAAAGCTCTTGCCTGGACCTGGTCTTCCTGGTGGACGAGTCGTCCAGTGTGGGGGCCAACAACTTCCTGAGCGAGCTGAGATTCATACGCAAGATGCTGTCTGACTTCCCTGTGGCGGCGGAGAACACGCGGGTGGCATTGGTCACCTTCTCATCCAAGACCCACGTGGTGACGAGGGTCGACCACATCACAGCGCCCAAGTCCCACCACCACAAGTGTTCCCTGTTCAACAAGGAGATCCCGGCCATCAACTACAGAGGGGGCGGCACCTACACCAAAGGAGCCTTCCAGAGGGCGGCGGTGAGTCAGAACTAAAGATGAAGTGAAAGTGTCTCTGATGTTGATCCCAGTGAAACGTGAGATTCATGAAAGTGCCGACATACGTCCAAAGAAGTTAATGTCCTTCTTAGATTTCACTCACTGTCTCAGAAACCTTTCCTGTTAATGTGTGTGTGTGTGTGTGTGTGTGTGTGT